TTTTTTTTTCGTTCTCTAATTAATTGTATGTATGCACAGTATTCAACTTGATCGCAGTAATACACTTGCTGTTTGTATATGCATTGCACATGTCAGATTGTAATAAAAAAATAGTAAAACGAAACTCTCGTTTCTTCATTATTGTTTGCTTCGATAGTCAGTCTCTATAGCAAACAGTTTCAAATCACTGTACGAACGATGCTGCAGTCTACCAATACTATCAATCAGAAAGCGATGTATGAGCAAGAAATATATGGATATTGAAAGATTTTTTTCTTCGTTTCTCTTCTTTTTTTCTATCGACAAACTTTCATCCGAGCAGTAAATAGTAACACTATCGGCTCTTTTTTACATTACATTCTATATGCACCTAACAAAACCAGTTTAAACAAAAGAAGAAGTGCACTGTGTATATATAAAAGAGAAAACTTTTCTTCGTATGTAATATATATATATATATTGTCAATCCTTTGTCACATACGTGAATGATATTCCGGGATTTGCCCTCCAGGCAATGTTGATTCTGGAAAAATGTATCGACAATTAGTCGAGCGAACAAGGTAGAAAGAGTGTACTGTCTATCGTAGGTGTTAGCAGATGGTAGACGATCATGAAAGATGGATGAAGATGGATATAAATTTACGTGTATGTATATTCAGCGTATAATCTCGAGTAGAGAGGATAGGTGTTCAATAAAACAAAAAGGAAACGATGCCTTAGAGGCATGCACCTCACTGAAGAAAAAGACGTAAAAGATGATAGTATGAATAACGCATAAAATAGTTCATTCTCTCGCTCTTTGCCGGCTAATATTTGACTCGCCTCTCGTTCATTTCTTCCTTTTTTTATTGCGATACACTATCACCTCTGAAACGACATACGGAAAAAAAAACGAGAGAAACATAAGAGGATAGAGAGAAACTACTTAATTATGGACGATGTTTACAATGGTATGTAATGTTTGAGAAAGAAGAAAGTCTTGCAAGAAAATCAAGACAACAATTAAATGGAAAAGTCACGACAGTCAGGTGTAAATGAACATTCGACATTCACTATAACAAAGAATATGTTCGAAGTAGTTACATATTATACTTTTTTTTGCATATTGCGAGAATTGCTATTAATAAACAAATAAAGCCTTGTATTTAAATACGCTTTACTGTTTCTTCTCTCTTTGACGATGACAAATTATATTCAAATAGAAAAGTTTTGATAGAAAAAGAAAAAAAGCTTTTTATTGCCGAATACGGATCATTATTTTCTGTTCATTTATTTGATATTAATCAGTCTTCTCTACGCAATAACTTAATTTGGTAACCATTTCCGACCAATATCCGATCGATTTAGCTTTTTCTTCGACGTCGCTAGACTTAGATTGTTTCCGAGAATTACTACCATCCTACTAAAAACAAACAAAAACCATATCTATGCTGCAAACTCCATCATTTGATTTCAATGAATTCCAAATGAGTAATTTACAGAAAAACGCTATAGCTCTATCATAAACTCCTAGTCAAACAACATGCCATAAAAATCTCCGATCGAGTACAATTACTACGTTGATGTCGTCTTCGAAAATCTCGAATGTAAACAGTTTACTAATACTATTTTTGTGCAAGTTTGTCTACTGATGCTTTTTGTTTGAATGAATAATCAACAAAAGATAATGGTTGGGAGTAATCGCTAAATCGATGATAATTGGTATCTATCCTACCCGCCAGAGACAAACATATAGTCTCCTATTGATCGAATGCGTGATGACACATTTCCTCTACGTGTGTGGACGTCTATTTACCATCGGCTCACCTGCGAGCGGACAGCGTTCATGTAAGTATTCACGTTCATTTAGTCAATTTTATAATCAAAACGATGCTTTATAACACATACGATATGATGCAATGTTGTCTCTAAGATCGCTCTTGTTCATCGTTGTATTCCTTATTCGTAAAATTTCATCGCAATGTGAATCGAATGCAACATTGTGGACGTATTATCCTTGTTCATTTATCATTTCATCGGCCTCGTTCCATTGTCCACATGTATCGATTTTGTCACCAATTGATCAATGTTCAGATAGAGAAATGACATTCTTCTGGCATTTTCCATTCGGTAATATGACATTAACTCTTCAATCCGAGCAGAAGCAATCATTTTTATTACGCTTATCAAGAACATCATTATTATCGAACAACTTAATTAAACATGTTTATCACTTGATCAATAATCGAACAATTGACGAGCAAATTATTTATCACGATCGTTCGACCGGTTCCATTACACTCTATTCCGATCAATATCATCAATGTTCAATGAAATTCGAAGCGAGAAATGAGAATCTTTTTCACTATGGTACATTTATTCGAATGACTGCTTTAATTGATAAGACGAATTAAATTCGTACAGCCAAACACTCGTTTTTGTTTCATTTGAACAGTAGAATCGTTGATATTTTGATGTGTGAGCGATCGATGATGATCAGTCGATCTATGAATCGTTTTTATTTATAAACTGAAAACAAACATTAACAAGAGAGTAACGTTATTTTTCTTCGGTTTCTTGTTTCTCAGGATCTTCGGGTGGTGAAATATAATGGGGCAATTTTCCACGTTGAAAATCATTCAGAACCATCTTGGCCACTGTTTGGAGATCAGGCTCAGCACCTTTCAACAATTTGCCGGTTTTTCTCGCTAATTTTTCTAGAAAATCTTCAGTTGTGGAATAATCATCAATTGAATAAGTTTTCAAGATATATTCGCGTTTAACACGTTGTAATAATTCATCAATGTATTGTTCCGGATGCGGTACATTTTCAACTCGAACAACCCCTTTTAGGACGATATCGCTTTCGGAATCTTCGGCTGGATAGACAATTCCGGGACAATCGATAAGAAAAATGCGTTTCATCAAAGTTATGTATTGCCAAACTTTCGTTTCACCAGCAATTGGAGCAACATTACATACCTAGCGAATCAAGTTGAAATCATGAACATAAGAGAATTCAAGTTTATAGGTTACCTTTTGGGAACGTAAGGTATTGATAACAGATGATTTACCCACATTTGGATATCTGAAGTAAAGAAGAAAATTGATTTTCTTTCTCCTTTTCTACAAGACGTTCCTACCCGATAAAGCCCACTGAAATTTGTTTTTTGTCTTGATGTAATCGAGAAAATTGTCTTAGTAATTGAATCAATGCTTGTTTACCAAATGATTTTCTCATGTTAGCATGAAAGGCAAGTGTTGGATGTGAACGAGAGAGTATAGCTACCCATCTTTGTGTCACCCAAACAGGAACCAAATCACATTTGTTTAGAATGAATATCAAATGTTTATAGGCTTTTTCTTTTTTCAAATAAGATTCAACTTGTCGACAGCGAGTACCTTCAGGATTTCGTGCATCGAGAACTTGAATGACAACATCGGATGAGTCGATAACCTGAAAAAAGTCGAGAAGATTGCGAATTTACTCCGAAATTCTTCGTACTTTGTAAAGTTCATTCCAAATACGTTTACTTTGTCCAGCTCTGAACAACGGATTCATTGTTTCTTGTTTTACACCGTCATCTTCGCGCATTAAATCAAGATCTTTATCTTGATTGTATTCACTCTGCGTTCGTTCAACATGAGCCATCAATGCCTCCATATCATCACCGCCGGTGACATTTGCTGGTCGTTTTCGTTGTGCTTTTGGTCCAAATGTTGTTTCATACGATTCAACATCAAGGATATGAGCACGTTTTTGCTTGCCCTTTTCGTTTAACAACGTCACCGGTAATTGAGTTTGTTTCATTACCACTTGATACGGATCAGCAAGTGTAGTTGACAGAGCTGATTGAAATTTTTGTAAAGAATTTTGAGTTACTACTCGACTATTGTTAAACCATTGACGATTTGGTGCGACACGTGCTTGAGTACCGGATGGAAGTCGTTCTTGAAATGCTGCTGCTTGTGTTATTCGTCCTGATGGGTCTCGTTTGGGTTTTCCACCACGATACATCTGTAATCGTTTGACAGTGGATTGTGAACGAAGTTTAGCACCATTAACAGATCCTGTAGTTGCCTTTGATGATGAACGATTCTTCAATGAAAGTGAATGTGATGTCGAGGGTGCTTTTTTGGTTGAGGAAGCTGCTGCTCCTTTCTTCTTTCGATTCTTGTTTTTCGACATGATGAAATTTGTCTAAAAAAAAGTAAAATCGAAACAATTTTCATAATTCTAGTACGTATATCATATGAATCGATGAAATGAATAAAACAGACAAAACTATTCACTGGTCTTCAGGTTAATCTGAGAGGACCGTTGAAAACATGTCTGCATAGATGGCGGTATCAATCATGTTACTAAGTCAAAAGTTGTCGGGCATGTGCACATCATATTTCGAGATACAAAATATGTACAAATAAAAATAGAAAAATGAGTAAATAGCGTTAGATTAAATTTGGAATCAGTAGATCATAATGAACAAATTCTCTTCCGGGACGGTGCTTTCGTCCACTTTCGATCCACAATCGAACTTTTAATGTTTGCGTTGCCGAATGAACTTGCCCAATATCTGCACGTGCAAGTGATTCTGCGGATCTAGATATTGGACCTGCTTCAGGTGTAGTTCTATTTTTCGATGCGAAACATCGTCGAAAACAACCGGTTTCAGTCGTTGTATATATTACTGGATCTATGTCGTCGCATTGCTCGAAGTAGCACCAATTACGATTTGGAAGAATTTTCCTATGTAAAATTCTTTTACCAGTTTCAGGTTGACATTGAAAAAAATCGACGAGTTCTTCTTTCGTATTTTCGATTGGATACCAAGTGGTTTTAACTAGATGTGCAATATGAATGGCTGTTCGCGGCGGTGGAAGATTCACAATGGCAGACGATATAACTTGATACATTAGTTTCGGATCATAGATCGATGGTGGATTGGTTTTCGAATGTGTTTTAAAGCGGCTTATTCCACAGCAATGTACGTCACCGCTGAAAAACGTTATTCGAACACGCTTTTTCTGGGCTAGTTCTTGAAAACGTCGTAATGCACGATTACGTTCGTCAATATGTGCATCATGTGTCCATTCATCTAGTAAATCATCATAGAGTTCGGGTAAACCAAAGATAGAATTCGTCTGTTTAACAAGTGGTAATTGTCGGCATTTATTTGGAAGATTCTTTATATGTTCAAAGCATGTTTCTGCTACTTTAAGTCGTAGGAATGAAAAAGGCACAGGAAATAAAATGATTAAATGTGGAATATTCTGTATTTGTTTATCCAGTCTATCAAATATCATATTCCATGTCAGTTCATCTTGAACTACTTCAGCTGTACGCTCCGTACGGGCATCAGCGCCAAGAATAGCTAAGTTAGGACCACAAAGCGTCAGAAAGTTATAACCTTGGTATCCGAATAAACCATGATCACGTGCTTTTTCGACTGTCGTATGATGTTGAAATAATAGACGCATTCGTTGTGCTGTTTTAAATAAACCTGTCATCATCGGACTATCATGAAGTAATGGTGGATAGGAGCCGGCTCCATCAAATATGTCGTGATCATCCCACATCATTAAACTTGGAATCGACGCTAAAGCGTTTTTCACTTCCGGCCGTTCCCAATTTTCCACGTAGGTATTGAAATGATATTCTTCAACTTGCTCGCGTAAATCATCACGAAAGTCACATGTCCACTTTGCATTCCATTCCATATCCACCCAATCTTTTAGAAATGGAATATCTTCAAAAATAAAGTCAATATACGTTTGATCACCACCCCAAATTAACAGATGTAATGAGACTTGACCATGAATAGAATTTAAATGTTCCCAAACATTTTCGAAGATTAGGTGAGATTTCGCTTGTTCGGATACAGTTGCATCAAAACCATTACATGAAAAGAAACCGCCACGCCATTTCTGGTTATAACGAGCAATATGAAATGCGCCTTCAGTTATTCGATCACTCCAATCGATTTTCCATCCGATTCTATCATCACCATCACCATGGCGTAATTCGATCGATATGTTAACACGGTATGCGCGCATGTTAAAGATATTGTCATATAAAATTTCCCAATTGAAATCTAATTTTGCTTCAGATGTGAATTCAATTTGTGGACGATCATAGGAAATTTCACGAAAGATCAATGCACTTCCAAGCCACAACATTCGATTTAAATCAGTACTAATAAAATGATAATACGGTCCCAGTGCCGGACCTGGTTTTCTCGGTGGACGACTAATCGAGGGTGTTTTTGCATTCGTGTTCGATGGTAGTGGCATGGCTTTGATTTTGGTTGTATGTTGTCTAGGTGGAGGACAGTCTGTATTACTTTGAGGATTTGGATTGACAGGATTTGGATCATTTGCATTCAAATTACGATATTTTCCAGTCGGAGTTGCCATTTCATATGCACCGTGTTCATCGTCTGCCATTATTGTATAAATATTTGATGTGAATAATTTATATAAATATTCTATAATTGAAAGGAAACATAATATCGGCATTGAGAATGAACTAGTATCTCAAGATCGCTTTGGAGATTTAGCGTTTGTTCTGTGAGAAGGTGATCGAAAGATAATCTATCCAACTGTCATATAAAGTATCGATGTTTATGTACGCAATACACCTACAGATATCTTTTGGTACAATCACAGTATATTTTTAAAGATAATGAATATGTTTCCTTTCTCATGATAGGTTTTTTAACGGAATAGTTCTTTCCGAAAGAAAAACTCACTCCTTGTTATTCTCGTTTAAACATTTTCTTTTTCTGTTCTATCGCATTTCTACGCGAATTTAAGCTCGCAAACGCCTGTTCACATCTCTTCTCGTCGAGTTGACGTTACCAAGAGAACGATCATAAAACACACACATGCACATATTTAGATATAATACATGTCTCGTTGTTTGTCATTTGATCGCATCACTACTTAATGAATATAATGCGTGATTACTATTCATCAGCTTTTTATCCTCGCATTACATTCTGTTCCCATCGAGACCGATGACACTATTCGAAGTACATCGTTGAGAACACCTGCAAGAATGTATTTTGTTCTAATCATAACTATCATCCATTGTCAAATGTCATGAATCAAGATCTCCAAGCTATAAACTTAGAGATCTTAGCAACCAATGTTTATACCAAGAAAAACAAATGTTATCCTCTACTTTCTGTTGTATGCAGTGTTAATCTCTATCGAAAATAAAATATCACAAAGCTCAATCTCATATTTTCTTTCATAATCCATTCTAAAGTTTATTAGTAGTGTCTATCGAGATATATAAAGCTTCACGCTTTTTCTATTTCGAGGTGTCCTACATTGTTAGTACTTGTAACATTTTTCTTTCATATCCCATGTTGAAGACGAATACAAGATTCTGTTTTCTATTTATTCTGAT